TTGTCAGGGGGCAGGGAGCGGTTGGATAGGCGTGGGAATCCCGGGGGTCTGTCTGGGGGCGGGGGTGTGGATAAGGGTCAGGGCAGTCAGGGGACAAGGAGCAGGGAGGCTTAATTAGGGGCAGGGGTCCCAGGAGGGGGTAGTCAGGGGACAAGGAGCAGGGGGGGTTGGGAGTTCTGAGGGGGGCAGTCAGTAGGAGCAAGCGGATGGGGGCAGGGCAGGGGCGGGGCTAGGGTAGGGCTCCCTGCGTGCACACCCTAATGCAATATGCTGCGCACGCCTATGTTTACAGTAGTATTCTTGGCACCTTCTCCCCACCAGCTTCATGTGCAAGTTACACTCTTTATCCCCACCCTTGGACCTGGTTTTCCTCTCTCTTGCACCTTGTGTCCTTATTTAGACCTGTGCAAACTGGATCTGATTTACCACTGCATTCTTCCAGTTTTATGACAGGCTAACTTAACAGATATTAAAAACTTAATGCCACTAGGGTGCCAGTTACATTACTTTGCAGCAGGATCTGTTTCTTGACCAGCTTATGCCCAACATCTAATTTGCACCACTGTTTACATCAGTACAGACTTCCAGGGAGTTGCAATGTTGTACTCTAATCTGCATTTTATTTCTTCCTTAGGCACTGCGTAACAGAAGGAATACTTACAGATGTTGAAGCACTTACTTTGTTCTAATAACATTTGGGAGTAGGGAGTGAACATTTAGTACGCTGATTCAGGGCATATTTTTAGCATTTAAAAATTCAAATATGTGAAATTTACCTTCTTTAAAAGCTCAACACAAATAAGGCTGGCTCAGACAGAATGCTCTTAAAAGCTTGGCCATCAAAAGGTAAAGTTTAGAGTTACTCTCCGGGCACAGAAAGGGTAGTAATTATTAATACATGTAGTTAGATGTGATCAAGAAGGTGAGATGAGGTTTCCCACAAAGCTAGTCTCTCTCTTTTGGCCAATTTGCACTTCTGAATTCCACAATGTGCTTCTCTTTAAACATCCTTTAGAATTAAATTTGATGACTTCCTTTTCCTTTTTCATTGAGTTCTGAGGAGCACAATTTAAAACAATAAGCACAGAGCAGCACAAAATCCCTGCCCAGATTTTTAAAATAATAATTTTGTCTAATGTTTGTTGTAATTTTTTGTTCTATTTTGTTTTTAGTTTTTCCAGATTTGCTCAAAATTATCCCTGCAAGTATCCATGTAAGTGTCATTCTCTTCTGTACAGTACTGATAGTCTTTGCTCTGGTGGGAACAGGTTTCTTCATGTACAATGCATTTGGCAATCCCTATGAAACTCTGCATGGTCCAGTAGGGTTATATCTTTGGAGCTTCATTTCATGTAAGTACTTTAGTATAGTTCTGCATTTAAATTAGTCACTTATTCATATTTAATGACTTAAGATGAGTGATCTATTTAATAAAACATGATGCTGTACTGAGAACTGTAGCTGCATTGAATCTGCGAACTATAGCTGGGTGGAGAAAGGTATTCCATTTTGGAGGATTGTGCTATTTTAAATTTTGGTTCAGTTCTGATTCTGAACAAACCCCAAAATTCTCCATAACAGGGGAGGAAGCATGACCACTAGTGAGTCTGCACCACAGACCTTGGAAGCCTGGGTTCCCCAGCACCCTACCAGACAGGTCCCAAAGAGTCAGGCAGGCAAACTGGCTGGATTTGTAGGTAGGGTTTCAAAACTTACCTAGCAGGCAAGGTTCTATTTGTCAAACTCGAACCATCTCAACGGAATGTTTTGTTTTTGATGAATCGGCAAATTGGGACACCAAAAAACTTGTGTTTTTTTTTATTTGTTGGGGAAACCACCTGGGAATCCTTGGGTTTGACTCTCCCATTCCTTTAATTGATGTAAGTCACATAACTTCACTGAAGTCAGTGGAATTTCACTGGTGTAACTGTGGGGAGAAAAGGGCTCTGTCTTATTAGCGAGAACCATAGGCCTGATTCTTATCTCAACACCACTGACTTCACTGGGATTACTCCTGACTGACATCAGCATGAGATCAAAATCAGGCCCACGGCCTTTCTTTGCAAGGGGCAGATTCATTGCCAACATTTCACATTTTGTAAGGGTTGCAATTGGAAAGCATCCTATTTGAAGAAGCCCATTGGGGACATGAAATCTACTGCAAGTGGCAGTAGATTTCATGTCAAGAGAATGAGGCATATTAGACTCTAAACTACAGTAAATTTTTACTATTAGTTTAGCTGGAGAGAAAAAGGTGCAATTGTGCTAAGGGATGTTGCTCATTAAGACCATGATCAGCAAAGTATTTAACTACATACTTACCTTTAAGCACCTGGGCAGTCCTATTAACGTCAGTTGGACTATTAATATGCTTAATAGTCAAGTTAAGCACTTGCATATGTGCTTTGCTGGATTGAGACCTTATACTAGACATAACACTTGGTATGGTTGGCTATTTAGGTCCTAATCCAAAATTCACTGGAGTCAATGGAAAGAATCCCATTGACTTTGATGGCCATTGGATCAGGTCCTGAAAAAGAAGCCCCTGGGAAGGAGTCAGTTAAGTGACCATAAAATATATATTGAAATGTAATGAAAATGGCATTTTACTTTTTGGTTATTTTTATGTCGTTCATAAAGATTTGTTGTTGGGAAATTCTTGGAGCAGTGATGTTTCTTGTTCTATTTCAGGTTCTTGCAGTTGTCTCATCATGATACTATTTTCTTCAGAAGTGAAAATTCACCACCTCTCTGAGAAAATTGCAAATTACAAAGAGGGAAGTTTCATCTTTAAAACTCACAATGAACAATTTCAGGATTCATTCTGGATCATCCTGGTTTGCTCCTTGGTGCACTTTCTGAATGTTTTGCTAATACGGCTTGCTGGATTTGAATTTCCTTTTTCAAAATCTAAAGAGTCAGAGACAACAACTACTGGAGCAGCTGATCTCATGTACTAGCCTGATGTCGATTTTTAATAACATTTCAAGCAAAAGGGTTAATCTCAGCCACTTTCAACAATGACCAAAAATATCTGGTTTTACATGATTAATTTGAAAGATATTAAAATCAAGAAGAGATCTAAAATAAATGTCACCACAGTAAATACAATAAAGGCATAGTATGCATGGTCCTCATTAGGACTAGATCAAGATATCCTTACTCCCATCACTTAGTACGGTGAGGGTGAGGGACCTGTCTGGTTTTAAGATTAAGTTAGATAAGTT